GACTTGTCTTTGCTGAATGAGCACTGGTTGTCTTTTTAACAAGAAGACCAAAAGTAAAGAAGAACTTTCCTGCAAAGAACTAAGGATGACCGGCCGGGGAAAAAGAAGTCTCACAGAGGACGTGGCGGATGTCTTTGAATGGCTGAGAGTTAACAAGCGGAAGAGAAAGACTTGAACTGTGGAACTTCAGATACGGAGTGAGGACTGATGGATGGAGGCTTCACAATCTCTAGCGAGCAGAGCTGACTGAAAAGCCGCCAGTGAGTAGCTTATCCTTGAAAGCATTCAAGCACGGCTGGAGATTGCCTCTCAGAGATGACCTATAGGAGACTCACGGGCCAAGAGGCAGATTGGATCACAAGACCTCTAAATTCCTACCAAACTGGGGCTCTAGACTCATCACCTAATATCGCTTTGAAATACACCAGGAGAGATGAAAAAAAAGGTGGTCACCAGCTTTCAGAGAACTGAGGGTTTTTTTTTTTTTTGCCAATTATCTTTCTGCTACCATTAGTGTCCATAAATGCTACAAGACATATGTCCTGCCTCATTCTTATGAATCCAGTTGGACTGGGGATGACAGAAGTGGTGGCACAAAGTCAGGGACACCTTAGCGCTCACTCTCCACTGTCACCAAATGGCCAGACATCAACCCTGAAGCACCGTTCCTAAGCTGGTTCCTGCAGAAACCAGAAGAAGGAACAGGCAGAGTCTGTTTAGAGGCTTCAGGACTGGTGATCCCATTTTCGTCCTCTGCATCAGTCAGGAGTGGCCAATAGGGCCTGGCCTCAGTGGCTTAAACAGATGAGGGATTTAGGTTTCACAGAAGGGAGACCATGTAGAATGGAGACAGCAGCCTCGGGATGTGATCAGAGAGCCTGGCTCCTTTCTGCTCCGCCCTCCTCCGTGCACGGAGTCCTATCCTCCGGAGCTTTCAGCCATCACTTCTGTGTTCCAGGCAGGAAAAAGGGAAGAACAGGAGCACAAGTGGTGTTCCTCTCAGTTTTAAAGGGCTCTCCTGAGAGTCTGCCCCAAGGGTAGTGCTCGTTTCCCTGGCCACACCTTACCGCCAGAGGACTGGAAGACGCAGTGTTTTAGCTGAGCACTTTGTCACCCAGTAAAATCCAGGGTCCTGATACTAGAGAAGTAGGAAGTGAGTGCAGGACAGTCTTTGCCACTTTTCCTCACGTCCCTCTGTCAGGATAGCAGGGATGGTCCCCTACTTATGAGAAAGCCAAGAGGCAGCCAGGAGGACCTGTGCGGAGCCACAGCGGGTTGGTGGTGGTGTTGGTGCCGGCAGCCGGCTCAGGGCCAGCTCTGAACAATGACGGAGAACACAAAAGGCAGAAATCCACTAACAGCTGTGGACAAACAGCAGCTGTGAGCCCAGGGCCATCTCTCGGGGGGAGAGTCAAATGAGAAGATGAGAGGGGCTGCAGAGGGCAGTGAGGACGAGGGCGGCAGGATACCAGGCTCCATGTCATTCCCCGGGCTGTCAAGAACTAGACAGCTTTGGCCCTGGCTCAGTTGGGAGAACAGATGGGCAGGAATTCAGCACAGCTTCCAAATCAGCCAAGCATCAAGACTGCCTTCCTTCCGTGTCAGCCAAGGCTACAGTTCCCACCGGGTCACAGCCGGCTGCAGAGCCCCAAGACTGAAGACCGTGACAGCCTGGCCACGGACGGCCATCCCTTGCCCACTGTGAGGGGCCAGGTGGAGCACAAGCAGGTGCAGGTGTGAGTTCCTCCCAGCAGTGAGAGTGACACCTGGGTGGAGCTGCCCACCACATTCAGATTTCTCCAATTTCAGCCCTGACTCCTTTGGGGCACAAGACTCTAACTACTGAGACAGGCAGCCCATTTGTTTGATTAAGGAGCTGTGTTCTTTCTCGTGCCCTCACCTCCCACAGGAATGATGGTAATGTGGCCAGAGGCGTAAGGGGAACCCAGGAATTACACTGAATTGTAAGCAATGCAGAGGGCCTCCTTCCCACATCCGACGACAGAAGGGCCTCACAGAAACAAGGCACACTCAATGAGGGGACAGGAATTCGTGTTCAGCTTCAGAAAGAGGACACAGAATGCAGACTTTTACTGCAGCTCTGGTGAGAGCATATGGTAGAGGAGGAAGAAATACGAAGTCTTTAGAAAGAGACGCATTTTCTGATGTCACACGGAAAAGGTTTCTGGGGCTCACGGAGGAGGGAGTGACTAGGCCTGGGGGAGAGAGGGAGCTCCTCTCTATTTCCCTTTGCAGAAACTACATCAATTTTGGATTAGCTGTGTATCTACTCCCAGTTCACTGACTGTCATTAAAAGTGGAAATTTGTTTAGAATTCTATTTAGCTAGAGAAGCCAGAAAAGCTTTTTAAAATGAGAAGTCTGGAGTAGAAACTTGGTATGAAGACCACTACCATAACTCCTCTAAAGAGAGAGCAGTGGGGGTGGGGGCGGGAAGGAAGGAAGGAGAGGGCACACCAGCGGTGAGGGCCCCACCCCCAAAGGCTGCTCCCTGCTCCCCGAAAGGAGCAGTCTGTGCTTTTCCACCACATTCCTTCTCCACGACCGGCTGGCGCCTTGCAGCCCCCTGCAGGTTGCACAGTGAGGCTCTCTGGATGATCACAAAGCACTCCCAACCCTATTCCTTTACCCCAGGCCTTCTGTAATCTTGAGACCCTGGCCTCATCAAAGCCACACTCTGCAGCCTGAAGACCTGCTCGTGTGGCCACGGGGAGGCTAGGCAGAAGGCGGCCAGCAGGCTTCCGCACCACCTGCCTCCCCTCCTTCCTCAGCAGCCCCCACGAGGGCGCAATCGGGGCTGGGAGGCTGGGCGAGCCCCCCTTGGCCCTCTAGGGTGTGAGGAGTCAGCAGGGATGCACACCCATCCCGCCGAGGCCATCTGCACTCAATTATAAGCCCTATGGAAGCCAGCAGAGGGCTGTTTAGCTGCTGCTGGTTCTCTGTGATTAGCTAGTTCTTGTCTTTTGAATATTGCATACGGTGCAGCCAGCTGTAGAAAGCATTCATGATTCAAAGCCTTTTTTCCCCTCAAAAAGAAAAGTGCTAAGCTAGTTGTTCTTACTATGGGAAGGAAAAAAAAAAGTTTAAACTCTTACTTCCCTACCTTAAAATTCCACCTCTCCCCAGGACTGGGACCATTCCTTTGTCTATCTTCTACCGGCACTACACAGGAACCTGCTGGCTGAAAAGAAGCCTTGCTAATATCAAGATAGTGTATAATTCCAGCTCAGGCATTGTTATCCGTCATCTAGCAGACGCTCTTCTCTGCCTTATTTTGTGTGAGAGATCTGATGTTAAGGCATCCTTTTAATGAAACCACTCCAGAGATTCAAGTCTTTGCAATCAGCTCAGAAGCCAGGGCCACCGCCAAGGCTTACTTTCTTTCCCAGGTGCTGAGCCAGGAACAGAAGCGACACTGCTTTGTTCGCACTTGAAACCCTCCGTGTTCTCTGTGGGCAAGCAGCAGTTAGCTGGCTATGAGCCAGCATTAAAATCAACAGGGATGCTTAATAAAATGTGTATTCCTGGGGCTACATGAGACACTTGAAACCCAGGCTCACATGTGAGTGGAGATCCAGAGAAGACGGAGGTTTGGGAGTCTGTGAATAGTGATAATGAAAGCCATTGAGATTAGCTACAATTCACAGGGAAAAGGATTCAGAAATAGAAGATGGGGGTAATCAGAGTCCCTTCTTCCTCACATCTCTGAACTAGGCAAATAAACTTACTTCTTTTCTCATAATATACAGGCTGGAAGGTAAATAGCAGCACAAATATGCCAATAACCTCAGGGCACTCGATGGATAAAAGTTTTTTGTAGCATGGGTTTGGCTGGCTTAAGACGATTAATTTTCAAAACTTCAGGAACCCATCTATATATAGGATGAATAGTTCTACTGTCCAGGTTGAGAAAAGAGAGAAATAAAAATGCCTGTTTAAATATTTAGCAGAACATTTCACGTTTTGTCTCTACTGATAAGCAACTTTAAGCATGTCTAAGTAGAAAAAAAATCTATACCCATGAGGGATCGTTCCCCTGAGAATACTGGAAGCCATGTGTCTCACCATCTGAGAAGAGAGTTACAAATATGGAAAGGGAGAAGACAAGACGAACCCAGTAGTATTAGTCTGAAATTAGAGGTATGGTGTAAATTTATGGTTCTCAGCATATGGATGCAGAAATAAATTTAGATACACACATGCAAATACTCCTGAATTCTGCCTACTGAGATGGCCTGGGACCAGTGGTTCCACAATAGTACTGAGCACACCTAGCATTCAAATCTTCATTTTAAGATAATTTTCCACTAAAGAAAGCAGGGCTGGAGTAGGAAAAATACAAGACAAACCTGGGATGTCTCACAGTGTCAGAAAATAAAGAAATGCCCAGGTATAAGAGGGACATGTGAAGAAGACACAGGAGCCAGCCTGAAGGAGCTCCCACTGGCCACAGCTGAGACCATTCAAGCACCTAAAGGAATAATGATAATAATGGATCATAACCCACTGACTGAAAAATGAAATGATGAGCCCATACTCATAGGATTAATATAAATGAATGAATAAAGGGGGAACGAGTGATTCTACAGTGGAAAAGTCTGGCAAGCACCACCGTGAACAAGTGGTCAGTTAGTACTGTAGTGACAGGACAAGGGGATCAGGCGCCCGAAGAGATGCAGCAGCATCACTTCTGTGCTGCTCCTGACAGATGTGCAGTAACCTAACCTAGCAGGGAGCAGCACGCGAAATACTCTTCTGAAGTGTCAAGGTCAAGAAAGGCAACAAAAAGCTGAGGTGCCACCCAACATAAAGCCCACTACAGCTTATGTCCACCTCTGAAGGGCACCTTTTGCTATACAGGACATTACTGGGACATTTGGCAAAATCTGAATGGGGTCCAAGGATTAGTGGCAATTTCCTGATTTGAGGTTGCATAGAAAAATCTCCTTGTTTATAGAAAATACACATTAAACTCAGGGATGAATTTTACGAGTGAGAGGCCCATCAAGTTGGTAATTTATTCTCAAATGATTTGGGTTCTGTACTTGTAAGTTTTCTGTGTGATAATATTTTGGAATAAAAATGTTTTTTAAAGGTACAACATTTTTTCAATTTTGTTATATGGCTTAAAAAATGACTATAGCAATGATGAAGCCAATGGTGCTGAAGATGAATACTGCAACATCAAGAGTTTCACCGCATTATTTCTTGAAATAAAATAGAAATTGATGGTATTGTATATAATGTGATTTTTAAAGTGTATATTTTAACTAAAATATTTATTATTATGAGTTAAAAAAAGATCAGTGAATGAATACTCTTCTAGGTTGAATTAAAATAGAACATTTAAGGTTTAAAAAAGTTTGGCTGGGGTAAAAATAACAGTTTTGCAAAACCTGTGTGATCCAAAATTAAAATGATATTCAGCAGCAAGAAATATTCCAATTTCTCATAACCAGTTCTCACAGGCAAAGAAATGTATGCCTTACTTTAAGAAGGCGTCAAACAGAAATAGGCCAAACTCAAAGAATTTACCAAGTGTAATAAATTAGATGTAAAAAATCACCATAAAAGAATTTACAGCTTACCAAAAGATTCACAAGTAGAAGACTCCTTCTATCAACTTCTCAGAGTCCCATTAGCTTTGTACTGATCTCTGAAAGATGTGTTTTACCAAAATTCGGTTTACATTGACCTTTTCAGGGAATATGACTTGAAAAGAGGTATCTGATAAGACACTGCCTTATCCTTCCTTGCAGCAGTCCTGCTTTATGTAAGTGATCAGAATCAAGCGTCACGTATCATGTCAAATACCATCTCCTGTCCAACAAGTTCTCATCTCTCTCCAGTAATGAAGAGGTGGACGTTCTTCTTGGACTGCAGCATCTGTGCAGCGCGCTCCACACCGACCACGGCGGCCAACCTCTGGGCGTCGTACTTGGAGTAGAGGACAGTGCAGGTCCAGGTGGCTTCCTCTCCTCTGGTGGTGGCTCTCAGCATGTTGCAGACTTCACTGTAGAAGTGGGGATATGTTGGCAGCTCATAGAAAATCAGGTTCCTGATGCCTTTTATTGTGTATCTGTCAGAAGGAGAAAGAGAGGCTATGTCTACACGAGAGAATTTATGGAAAAGCCACCTATTCGTGTCACAGGCACAGTCACTCTTGCTGCTTCATGCTCAAGGAGGAAGATAATGGCACAAATGACAGACCAAAAGTTGCTCTAACTTCAACTGGAAGGGCTTAATTTTGTGACAATTTTTGAATTCCTAATGTTTGCATTAAGATAATGATAAAATGAATCTGCATTTCTTGAGCCTACTCTGAGCAGACTATAGTAGGGTGGGGAAGAATATATCAGGATTAAAAATCTGTCACAGAAATTTAAAAAGCAGGCACTTCCGATTTAACATTACCCTTGTTATAATCAGGCAAAATAGAATGTTCTATAATGGAGAAGAGGTCGGACCTAGTACATAAAATAAACTGCACAAACTAAATGTATCCTCATTAGTCTTTTTTTTGTCACTCTAGACACGTTAACTCCATGGCAGATGTCCTGACTTCATCCATTTATAAAATCTTGCCTGAGGACCCATTAGGCATTATGGGAAAGCGATTAGTTTCAACAGCTTCTGCACTTCTTTCCCTGCTGCACAGGGCTGCACGGTGGTGGTGAGCGTGTACACCCTAGGGACTGGCCTTACAGTTTCCTTTGAGGTCAGTCATTCCCTCTGGGGCTCTGTAACAAAAGATTTTATACGTTGACAAGGTTCTGATTTTTCCTGTCGACTGCTGATGTTACACTCCCTTGGGAATTTCATGTTATTCACAAAGGATAAGCTTTCCTTTCCTTTTTATCCCACGGCTCATCCTGATCTCTCTGGAGACCCTCCTCTTCCAAAATGTCACTGCAATCCATTACTTGGTTCACCTTTCCACAAAGAAGGGATTCTACTGGCTAATAAAGTTGAATAAACACAGTTCTCCCTCACTGGTTATCAAAACAAACGAAAACAAACACTGGGTTCCACTTCTGCTTAGTATGTAGAAAACTCAGGAGAATACTGCTCCCATGCTAACAAGAAAAAGGCAGACTATCTACAACAGCATTTCTTTGCTTGCACCCAGACAGCTGGCGGTGCGCTGGTGTATGTTTTAACAACTGGCTCTCAGTGGGGAGGGGAAGGTACTGATTTGAAGCATTTGCCAATTTCTGCGGTGTAAATTCTACCATGGCCAATTTCGAGCTATCAATGTCATGATGCTGAACTTGGAGCTGGGAAGAGACGCTCATACCGGCTCTAGAGAGTTTCAGCCCATCACTGACTGAATTCCAGAGTGACAAGCTTGTGTGAAGACAGGACACATGAACTACTTCACCTTTGACAGAGCACGGGAGGAAAAGAAGGTGGCTGCCAAGAAAGTGGGTAAGAAGAAATCCACACTTTTTAAAAAAAACTTGAAGTACAGTTGATTTACAATGTTGTGTTACTTTCAAGTGTATAGGAGTGATTCACCCATGCATTAATATATACATTCTTTTTAGATTCTTTTCCATTGTAGGTTATTCAAGATATTGAATATAGTTCCCTATGCTATACAATAGGTTTTGTGTATCTATTTTATATACAGTAGTGTGTATCTGTTAATCCCCAACCCCTAATTTATCCCTCCCCTCCCCACACTTACCCTTTGGTAACCATAAGTATGTTTTCTACATCTGTGAGTCTGCTTCTGTTTTATAAATACAATCATTTGTATCACTATTTTAGATTCCACATGTAAGTGATATCATATGATATTTGTGCAAGGAAGCCACACTTTTAGCAAGTCTTAAAGGGCAAGTGTGGATCTGCACGGTAGTTCAGAATCCCTGGGTTTCCCAGACATTCCTTGACTTCACATTCACTCATAAGGTCTTCTCCACAGGCCTCCACTGGGAGCCCTGGAGAAAGGCTGGAGGCAAGACAGAGGAGGTGAAGGGCTTGGTGGAAGCTGAGAGGAGAGCAGGACACTGAGACAAGACCCACCAGCATTGGGCCCCTCACTAAGCCACTGTCCACTGGAGGAACTGGCAGTCTGTGCTGCATGGAAGGTAACTATGGTAACAACTGGACTAGATCCACAACTCCCATACCAGGGGCCTGACAGAAGAGGTGTGCCTAGGCCAACCACTTACTCAGGCACTACATTCAACTGACAACTGCAAAAAACACAGAAAAGCAAGAAAAGGACATTAAAACCATGAGGTATCATTCTATCAAGTCACTGGCAACAAGTAGGGTTCTGCAGAAATAAACCAATGGAATATAAATTATTATTATTATTTTATAATTTGACAAATTTTGATAGATGTATACACCAATGAAACCACCACCACAATCAAGATAGCTAACATTTCCATCACTTCCCAAGAGGTGCAAATTTCTAATTCCCAATTTATCCCTTCCCATCCCCTTTACCCCCTGGTAACCGTAAGTTTGTTCTCTATGGCTGTGAGTCTGTTTCTGTTTTGTAAATAAGTTTATCTGTGTCCTTTTTTTAGATTATAAATATAAGCCATATCATATGGTATTTTTCTTTCTCTTTCGGACTTACTTCACTTAGAATGACAATCTCCAGGTCCATCAATGTTGCTGCAAATGGTATTATTTTATTCTTTTTTATCTCACACACACATATATATATATACACACCACATCTTTATCCAGTCATCTGTAGATGGACATTTAGGTTGCTTCCATGTCTTGGCTATTGTAAACAGTGCTTCTAGGAACACTGAAGTGCATGTATCTTTTCCAATTATATTTTTCTCCATATGTATGCCCAGAAGTGGTACCGCTGGATCATATGGTAAATTTATTTTTAGTTTTTTAAGGAACCACCATACTGTCCTATATGGAGTATAAATTATTGTGCAGGTGTATTTGGGGCAGGGAGGAGGGGAAGATGGGACGAAGCAAACAAGTGGCAATATATAGCAAATTTTAAATTGTCTTCAGTCTTCGAGCAAACAAACTTTCCTTTCCAAATTTATCCTAAGGAAATACTGAGGTAACTATGCCATCAACTATGCATACGGATGTTCTTGGAGTTATTGTGTATAATAGCAGAAAACAACAAAAATCCACACATATATTAAAAAGAAACCGGGTTAATTATCTATCCATACAATGTAATACTATGTAACCATTAAGAAGGATGCTATAGGCACACCTCATAGACTACCTATTAATTACACAGAAAAGGTATCTTTACAATGTAGAGATCTAGCAGACCCACCTTGACCAAGTGACTACATTTAGCATCACCAAAAATGGTATAAACTGACACCACAAGCCTCTTGGGCAGATGCAGTGGAAGAACACAATATCCTCTATGTAGAATTCTTACCAAAAAAAATGTTTAAATTTGTGGTCCCCAAACTTCGCTGCTCGTTGAATCACCTATTTTTTTTTAAATACCTATACTTGGTCCCGACCCCCAGACACTATGATTTAATTCATACTGGGATATGGCCTGGACATTCAGATGTGAAAAAGCTCCCAAGGAGATTCTAATGTATAGCAAAATTTGGGGACACTGATTTAAATAATAAGAAAACAGACAAATCCACAGTGTGGTACATTCTACAGGAAATTAGACTGGACTCTTCAAAAATGTCAGTATCATGAAAAAGAATGAAAGGAAGAGAATCATTTTAGATCAAGGTTTCTTCTTGGCACTACTGACATTTTAAGCCAGGTAATTCTTTGATGCAGGGGCTGTCCTGGACACTGCAGGACGTTTATCAGCATCTTGGCCTTGACCTGCCTGAACCACTAGACCACTAGAACAACCTTCCAGCTGTGACAACCAAAAATGTCTCCAGATACTACCAAATGCTCCTTGAGGAGCACAACTGCCCCTGCTTAAGAACTACTAAGATAGACCAAAGAAACATGTTAACCGAGTGCAATGTATGATTCTTAGCTGAATCTTGGATTAGTGGTGGGGAGAAACGCCATAACGGTCATTTTGGGGACAACTAGGAAAATTTGAGTGTAGATTAAATATTAAATGATATTATTGCAGTAATGTTGAGTGGTATGTTAAGGGTGTTGTGATTAGATCAAAGGAGTTTGTTTTTAAGGGCTACAATCTGAAAGAGTTAGGGGTTAGAAACCTCCTGCAATTTACCATCTAACAGTTCAGGAAGAAAAAATGAGATGTGAGTCGAGAGAGAGGAGACAGAGAATGTGGGTGTGTTCAAACGTAGCAAAGTGCTAACAGCTGGTCAAATCTAAGAGAAAGGAGTTAGAGATGTTCATTGGTACAGTCTTAAAATATCTTTTGAAATAAAATTTTCCCAAATAAAAAGTTGAGGGGAGGGAGGATGTGACGGAACTATATATATTAACTTAAAAATACATCCATGTCATACAAACGTCTTTACCAAAATGTGAACTTATTTATGTTCTTTATTCAATGAGCACAGAAAATATTTAAGATAAAAGAAAAAAATCCTAATGTGCATACTGTGATCCCAATTTTCTAACTTTTTTAAATGCCTATGGTCTGTGTGTGTGCATGTGCACATATTTTTTACATAAAAAAGACAGGAAAGGAATACACCAAAATTGGTATTTATATCAGTGCAGTGAGATTATAGGTGATTTCATTTTTTTAACCCTGTATTTTCCAAGTTCTCTATAATGATTGTGTAATACTCTTGTAATCAGAGAATTTCTAAAACAAAATAAAACCACAAAGCCAAGAAAAATGTCTCTTAGTACTACTTTGTCCACAGCAGAGACTGGGTATCTCCTGGAAATAAGAGAATGTGACCAGGACCTCTTCAGAGGGATGATTAGTGACAATTCCCTAAAATCTTCAGAACCCCTTCCCCTGCCTTCTTCCTCCCTTGTATGTGCCCTGGGTCTTCAGTGACCCCGTACAAATAAGGACCAACACCCCAAAAAGGACCTAAAACTAAGGGTATTCTAGATGTCTACTAACCAGCCAACTGCTGAACATAACTGACTTGAAAGGCTTTCCCACACACTCTGTAAAGTCCAGGTCTGCTACTTCTACAACTGGGGTTCTCACTGGGGTAGGAGGACTCAGAAACACCCCAGCAGCCTTTTCCAACTCCAGAAATTTCTCCTCCAGAGTCTGCCCTGCTGTGCTAACCCACTAATAATGCTCCGAGAAAGAGCTGTGAGCTGTCCTTCCTTCAGGGACCCCATCATGTGGGGTCCAATCCTAAGATTCTATTGGTTTCATATCCCTGAAAGAAAAAAAAAAACTTTAGGTGGGATTTTTTTTTTTGCTAGCTTGTAAATAATACAAATGAATTGTATTATTTCTAACACTGCCTACTTCCAAAGAGAATATAAATACAGAATTTCAGAGTTGGATACTAAAGTTTAAAATACATGTACTTTACCCCAGGCCAAATCAAAAAATCAAATCACAAAGGCACTGCAGATCAAATCATCCATCATCACCTTGGTGACCAAAAAGTTCTAGTTGGGAATCTTGAGGTAACTGGCAGCTGCAGAACTCCAAGGCACATTATTTCCATTAACCTCAAACACAGGCTACACCCACTAACCTGGTCCAGGGTATAAGCAAATAGCACATGTTAGGTTTGTCTTTATAGTGACTTTGGGGGCAAAACAGTTTGGTCAATAAAAGAACAGTGTAACACAGGAGACCGCCCTGCCTACTTCAGAGAAAGGGCTCCTTTGACGTCGCGCCCTCTCCATGAAGAGCTGCTGTTTGAGAGCGGTCCTCTCCCCAGCTTAATTCACTCTTGCTATAGACAGTCACGCTGGGAAGTTTTCCAATCCATCCACTTCATTTAAAGGACTTGCTCTGGTGTCATGTCAAGCAGTCGGAAAACTGCTGAGTGCAAACTCCCCCAAAACACCACTTTCCAACATGAACGAAAACCACCATCTAAGGAAACAAAGCAAATGATGCCGCCAGCAAGCAGGCATTCATTAACACCCTTGGGCCAAACAGCCCTGTCTGGGTAGGCAAGAGTGGAGCCCAGCAAACACAAGTGTAGTCATTTCTCCTCTCCACTCACAGGTCACCTGGTCAGCATGATGCCCCAGGAGGTCACATCATGCCAGCTGGCTTCGCTCTGGCAGGCTGCTGGGTTCCTCCCTCCCCATCCTGGTAAGGAGAACACTTCTGGGGCATAGCACCCTAATGTCATCATCAACTGAAAGGCAACACAATGCCAAGGTGCATCATCTAATCCGCTCTAAAGTCTAGACAATTTCTGGCCTTAGGTGTCAGGGATTCTCTGAGAAAACGTGCCCTTTGTTAGTGTATGACTGAGAGTTAATGAAACAGTAAAGTCAGAATTGAAATTCACTGGACGTTATTGTGAATCAGGAAGGAAAAGGTTATAGGATGCACTTTCCATCTCTCTAGGTAAGGGCTAAAAAAGGGCTTTTACATTTGGCAGCAGAGAGGATTAGCAAAACAATAAAACAACTGAGCTCTGGGGGCACAAAGGGCTGCAACCATCCCAAGCAGTTAACAGAAGGCTCAATACTAGTTAACACTCTAATTAGAATTTTTTTTTAAAAAGGCCGACCCAGCTTATTCTGTCAAAGTCCCATGGTGGGGAAGGTAAGCAAACATTGAAGCCCTCGAATATTCAACTCTAAGCCCCTCACCTTCAGCTTCTTGTAAACATCAAGGGGCCCCCTAGTCCTGGTTCTCCTTGGCGCGGAAGCAAGCGCGGGGGCACCCACTCAGGACGCACCAGAATGTTCTGAATACGCGTGCTGTGCTCAGCTTCCATCTCCACAGACCACAGAGTCCCCAGGATTTTCTCTGTGCTTCTGTGACAGGTTCCTCCCTCTCCTGTATTCACTTAAGGTGTCCCTGTCGAGAGCTGTTCAACTCTGTAAGGTTTTTCTAGAAGGGCACACCTACAGCTACAGGAAAGTACCCCAAGTGTGGGCCTGCTCCAGAGCCACACACAGGTTACGCTGTAGTCACCCATTCGTTTCTAAGTTTTCCAACAATGCCCACCTTGGGAGAAAACCATCCACCCAACCAAGAAGAGTCTAATCAGCCCCAAAACTCTAGCTTCTCTGCAGTCAGTGGGGTGACGGAGGACCTCACAACACAGCAAGTCCACCACGCGCTCAGAAGCAGGCCCTCCGGGGAGGACACTGGAAACCTGGCCCTGCTTTACCTTTTGTAGAAATGGAAGCGCTCTGTGAGGAGCAGGAACTGCTTCTCTCCTTGAAGGAAGAAGTGTCTGGCCCTGGAGACCCCCGACTTCTGGGTGTACTCGCAGATGTGGGTGAAGTTCAGTTCCTCCTTCTTGAAGTAATTTCGGAGACGCACAAAGTCAAAGTAGGAAGGGACATAGATAAGCGTGTGAGACATGACTGCATCACGATACTGAGGCAAAATCTTGTTCACGAAGAAGTTAAACCTGGTTTGGAAAGGCAAAGGGCAAAGTCAGCGGTCTTCAGTTGAGCCCCTGGTGTCACCGCTAACTGCATGACGCTGGGCAAGTCACAATCTCCCTCCAACTCCCCAAAGAGGACAATTTGGCCTGCTCATCACAGGGAGACTGCGCGAAGGGTAAAACTTGTTAAGTATGTTAAAAGACAACTGCTACCACTATTCATCATAAGGAACAGATGTGACACCAGCCAGTCAACAAATAATTACTGAACACCTACTGCATGTTAAGCACCACTCTGCTACCACGGGTCCCGCGACTAAACATAATGAAGAGACGGGAAAAATACAGAGTGAATCAGAAAAAGTTCTTGCCCCAAAGGGCTTACAATTAAGTTGGTGCCATCCACCATTAAACAATATAATGTAATTTTAAAATGTCAGTCTAGGAGGAAGCACCCCTGATTTACTAACCCTGCCACTAACTAGCCAGAAGAACCAGGGCAAGGTACCATTTCTCTGGGGCTTCAGTGTCCTCCTCTGTCAGTGGCATGATTGGGTTCAATTATTTCATTTCATTTCATAAATACTAATCAATAAGGCCAACGTGGTACCTAATTCTAAATTTGTACACCAAAGTCAAATCTCTCTCTGTGGCCCCCAGGCATCCAACAGGACTGGGGAGGGATGGGTACCTGGCATCAATCACTGAAGCTAGGTTTTCAGCTTCCATCCTCTGGAAGACATGTGGGAGCTGCACCAGGACATGACTGATGGAGCCAGTCATCGGGACGTTCCTCACAGCCACCTGCCAGGAGTCAACGAGAGCATTAGGGGTAAGCCATCCCCGTGCTGACCAAATGCTATCCTCTCCTGCCTCGTGACACAAATACATAATACTTCAGGAGGATTCAGAGAAATAAGGAGAGAACCCACCTGGCCTTGCATGTTGACGCAGTACTTGTTGAACACGGAGTTGATCTGGGCATCCTGCAGGGCCCCGAATAGCAGTGTCTGGCGATAGTACTTGGACCAATTATTGAGGCTCCACATCCGCACACGAGAAAAGTCCACCCCATGTGAGTCCAAGGGCAGCAGGTTCATGTGGTTCATCAAATGCTTTGAGCAGAAATAATACTACCATTAATATTGATTGAGCACTGCTAAGCATTCTAGAGGTTTAGCGTCTTATTTACCCCTGTGAAGTACAGACTATCATCTCCCAAACCACGACAAGAAAACTGAGGCTCAGGCAGGTGAGTGACTTGCCCAGAGTCAGGTGAACACCCCTGACAAGGTAAGTTCAAACTAACCACCTCATGGACCTTTCAAAAAGGATCAAGATGGTACAGAAATATTTCTTTTAAAGGAACTTTTGAAAAGTTACCCTGGTCATTCTACAGGCTACTCAGTTCCAGGCTCGGACAAGAAGGGAGATGACAGGGAAGACAGAACTGCTGTCCTTCCGTGACCTGGTTCCCAAAACATCAGCAGAGTCCCAGAGAGACTGCATGTGCCTTTTCCTCAATTAAAGACGGACTCAACCATCAACAAGCCTTTTCCATTTTAATTATATTTTAACCTTGTAACGTATATTGAAGGGAAACAAGTACTGTAAATGTATTCCCTACTTTATAAATAAGTAATCCCCGTTATTTGTCCCAAACTTCCTCCAAGCCCAAGGTGGTAGGAAAAGTAAGTTCTCATATGCCTTATGAAAACAAACCTATTGTTTCAAAGCAGTTTTTCGATCCTAAAACTAAAAACACTGCAGAGTATGTGGAGAGGGAGACAAAAATCACAGCACAAATTACAGTAGGGGGACAAAAACATCATGTATTTCTCTGCAAAACAAGACCACACGTTAAGAGATTGTGAGCAATGTTTTCTCATCTCCACTGAAGACTAAACAAGAGAATGAGCATAAACTGTAAGAGGAATTATTTTAGATAGACATTCCTGGTGAGGAGGATTTTCAACCAACCAACCAACCAACCAATCACACTAAAGTGGTCTATTAGCAGAAGTAACCTTTAAGGGGAAGAAATCTTTTCAGGAGATTTGAAGACACTGACAAGAATTTTTATCTTTTTGGACACTTTACTGACCAATCTGTGGGTAGAAGATGGGACAATATTTTCCACTCTCAAATTGGAAAATGTGGAATATTTCCCTGTTTCCAAGCTACCTGAGTTTTAATCTGGACTTCAATAACCCTTTCAGACGCACACCACTGAGCTTCATGTCTCTAAATGTGAACGACCAACGTTACCAGGACGTGCTCCCAGTTCTGCATCAGGTAAATGTCAGCTTGATCAATGATGAGAAGCTCAATAGAAGACAGAAAGTCAAAGTCTCTCTTCTTCTCTCCTTCTCCACCAAGGATGGTCCTCAAGCCCAGCGGGGAGGCAATGAGGATGTCCGAGGAGTAAAAGGGGGCATAGAGTCGGATGCTTCTCTGCAGTACTGCCACTCCTACAAAACAGCCAAGTACACGTGTTCATCAGCCACTGCCAAGCCATCAGCTTCCACCCTCTCAAAGTGCCCCCTCCCTTGTACCTTCCACACTCTCCCTCTTAGTGTATAATGGGGCTCAAACTACTTTCTCTAGTAAGAGCAGCAGCAGCATCCCCCCCTTGCATCTGCAGTCCCTTCTAGCTCTCACCTTCTGCCTTTCTCTCACCGGCAAACCTTCCAGAAGATTGTCTCTACTTTAAAATCTCCCACTCACTCCTCAATGCACTGCAATCTGCCTCTGACTCTCAGGATGCCACTCTTGCTAAGGTCACCAACAGTTCTGAGTTAGCAATTCAATGGCACGTTAGTGTTTATTACCATGAATGCATAAGCAGTGTTTTGAATATACCCTCTGTGAAATGTTCTTTTCCTCATTGGTGGTCTCTATGACTTCAACTTCAACTTCTCCTATCACAGACCTGGTCCTCGCAGGACACCACCAGAGCCAATAATCGTAAAAAACCCGCACAGGGGACACCCCTCGGGCACCAGACTCAGGCAGACAAGGGGTGGGGTGGGATGGTGGGGAGTGCAGATTGCATTTCTGGGCTCCACAGGACTGAAACATGATAGCAGTTTGAGAGGCAACAGAGAACTAGGGAAAGGTTAAACAGTACAGTTCATCTCCCACACAGGGCTACTCTTTCCAGACAGGGAGAGGTAACTGTTTCATAGAATATACAGAAACAGAGAGTCAAGCAAAATGAGGAAGCAGAGAAACATGTTCCAAATGAAGGAACAAGATAAAACCCAAGAAAAGAAAAAGTAATGAAACAGAGATGAATAATTTATCCGATAAAGAATTCAAAGTGATTGTTACAAAGAAGCTCACCAAACTTGGGAGATGAATGAACAAACACTGTGAGAAACTCAAGAAAGAGACAGAAAATGTAAGAAAATTCTAAACAGAATTTACAGAGCTGAAGAATATAATAAGTGAACTGAAAAATACACTAGAGGAAATCAACAGCAGACTGGACAACACAGAAGACAGGGTAGTGGAAATCACCTCAACAGAACAGCAAAGAGAGAAAGTATTTTTTAAAAATGAGGACAGTCTCAGGGACCTGTGGGACAACATTAAGTGCACTGTCGCTGGCATTAAGGAGTCCCAGAAAGAGGAGGGAGAGAAACGGGTGGAAAACTTATTTGAAAAAATAATGGCTGAAAATTTCCCTAACCTGGTGAAGGAAACAGACATTAGGATCCAAGAAGCACAGACAGTCCCAAACAAAATGTACCCAAAGAGATTCATGCCAAGACACATTATAATTAAAATGTCAAAAGTCAGAGGTAAAGAGGGAATTTTAAGCAGTAAGAGAAAAACAACTAGTTACATGTAAGGGAATCCCCTTAAGATTATCAGCTCATTTTTCAGTAGAAACTTTGCAGGCCAGAAGGGAATGGAATGATACATTCAAGTATGCTGAAAGGAAACAATTTCCAACCTAGAAGGAAGAAAATAAAAGTCAGACAAGAAATAATGAATAAATGAAATGGAGACTAAAAATAAAAAATAAAAAGATCAATGAAATTAGGAGCTGGTTCTGTGAAAAGATAAACAACCTTTAGTCAGACTCATTAAAAAAAAAAGAGTATCCAAATAAATAGAATAAAAAAATGTTATAACCAACACCACAGAAATACAAAGGATTGTAAGAAATTACTATGAACAATTACACACCAACAAGTTGATAACCCAGAAGAAATGGATAAATTTCTGGAAATACACAATCTTCCAAGACTGAATCATGAAGAAATAGAAAATGTGAACAGATCAATTACTAGTAATGAGATTGAATCAGTAATCAAAAACTTCCAACAAACAGAAAGTCCAGGACCAGACGGATTCACTGGTAAATTCTACTGAACATGTAAAGAAGATTTAATACCTGTCTTTCTCAAACTATTCCAAGAAATTGAAGAGGATGGAATGCTTCCAAATTCATGTCACAAAACCAGCAAAACATTAGTACTAAAACCAGACAGAAACACCACAGGAAAAAAGAAAATTATGGGACAATATCCCTGGTGAACACAGATGGAAAAATCCTCCACAAAATATTACTAAACTGAATTCATCAATACTTTAAAAGCATCACGATCACAGCAGAATTCATTCCAGGGATATAAGGATGGTCTGACAAAGTGCATATAGAGGCAATGTACCTCAACATAACAAAAGCATATACATGCACCCCGTTAGCCAAGGTGAGACTCTCTCCCTTGGCAGATAAGATATCTCAAATACACCCTGGTTCTGCCAGGAGGCTGAGTCAGTGACCTATGAGAGAATGCCTAATTCCAGGCTTCCAGCTTCCAGCTATGGGCACCTCACACCTCACGTGCCTCACGGTCTCAGGTTTGACAAGGAGGAATTACCGATCCTGAAGTGGTCATCGATGTTGCCGACAAACACAGCTTCGTAATCCTCAGGCCTCTTCAGGTTGGGTGGTCTCTCCTCGGGATCTGAGCCATACTCTCCATTAAACCTCTTTTTGTTGCTTACAATGATTTTCTTCTTGCTGTCCCCCTCAAGGAGGCTGATGAAGAGCTGTACCACCCGCAAAGCGGCTTCCCGGAAGGGCACCACTATCAGCACCTGTGGAGGCAGTGAGTGACGGGCAGCCTTGCAGGTGCAAGAGGAAGGAAGCACAGCCCGAAGTGAGCCTGTTGAGGACATGGTGCTAAGGAGCCCTCTGTTCTGCAGTCCTCGGCCAGGGACCATATCCACGTCACCCCCTCGTACACAGGACCTGGCTCAGTACAGGCTGAGCATCTTTCATATCTACAGCAACACGTCCTATGGACTTTCATCTCACAGCTAACTGGGAGGCAATTCTTAAGCAGAATGTGGAAATACCTTTCAAGATAAGCTAATGTTCATAACAGAGGTGTCCACTAGCAAAGACCTAAGGACATAAACACACAAAGTTCTTTGAGGACAAGAAAGTTACTGGCTTCTGTCTCCCACAGAACTTAGCACAGTATTTTGATCCATAAGACTCAAAGATCATGCTGAATAAACAAATTAGGTGTAAGAAGTACAGAATAAAGCTAGTAAAGAAAAGGACTAATGCATCATTACTTCCCTAGTACATTTCCTAGTGTATTTTCCAGAAATGATGATAAAGCGCTCCTGAAATAAGGTCGTATTTCAACAGGAAGTATAAGACTCAGTTTTCCAAACATTTCCCAAAATGCTTAATGTTATAACTGTTGTGGAAAAAAAAAAAACAGAAGATACGTAATAAATGATTAATTTCTAACTATCTTTTTGTAAACAATAGAATCAATGAAAATAACCCCAGTCAGATCAGACAATTCATCAAATTCTAAATGTACTTTCTGGGTAATCTGCCTCTTGCTCTTTTTTTTGCATTTTTAAATGGAAACAGATAATCTTATTATCCTCATGTTCGAGATTCTGAAAGTTGCCAGAAATGCAACTAGCACAGCCAGGAGGGTTAGTGATTCAGTCCGCTACAATGCAGGGATGATGGACCGATTCTGAAGAGGGCCAAGTTATCATCCTGGCAGTGACAGTAAGTGTCTAGGCTTTGGTTTCCCCAGTTGTCAAACAGGGCACCTGGACTACAAAATCTCCAAGAGCCACATCGGTATTAAAACACCAGAATCTTACTAAGCTCAATGAGAACAATCTAAGAAGATAAGGCTTCTTCAAGATGGAGACACGCAGGCTAAGGGATGGGGAATGGAAGGCACAGTATCCAGCTCCATAACAGCATGGAAAGTGTAGACAGAATTAAGACATTTTCAATCTAAGACCCCAGTCCACTGGAGCTTAGGCTTAGGAGCCCAAATAAATGGGATCATCACTTTAAATAACTATACAATGGAAAAATGAGGATCTTTATTTTTCAAGATTTACATATTTATGTGGCTTAGTGGAGAGAATCCTTGGTTCTAGTCCCACCTCTGCTACTCTTTCCCTGGCCCCCAACGAATCTGGGTCCACAGGTGTAACAGGTAGAGACTGAATAGAATACTCCTTAAGGTCCCAGCCAGCTCTGACACTCACAAAAAAGAGATCTATGGTAGAGTGTTACTTATGTATGCTCAGGGTTTATCTTTAAGGATAACTGTCATGGAGGTACCTCCTACTCCAGTTTCCACTTGAACCACTGTCAGAAAGTCCACTGAACCGTCTGCAGCACTGCTCTGACATCACCCGGCCCATCTAACAAGCTCACTCTTGGACTCATTCATTATTCCAATCATTACAACACCTGAGAACATGCTAAGGGCCAGGCAGCTGTATGGTAGAGCCTTACAGCCTCCTTGAGGGCAAAGTTCTCCTGCTGCCACTCACCTTGGGCCTTGTTAGCCCTTGGTCCCTGAAGTCGTCATCATCACCCACCCCAAGTTTCTGGCTTCGGCGTCTGCTGTTGTTGCCAAGCACCTGGGCATTGGCTTTGAGGACATGGTTTATCACATGCAGGCAGTACACGTGGCGGATCTCTTCCCCATTCTTCAGGGCAGTCCTTTCTGGGTAGAACAGGTCCCGGTAAGAATTCATAATTAAGAAGAGCTCTTTCTGGAGGGGTGTGAATGGGCTGTTTGATTTTTGGGTTCCAGAGAGGAACTGGCTGTTGGTCTTGATCCAGGTGGATTCCAGAGGCTTCTGGAGATGAAGTGACTTTAAGTCAACATCCTTTGGGGGTTTAAAGGTTTCCAACTTCTGAAACTTGGATGAAAAGACAAGCTGGCCCAAGATGGGCCACTGGGGGAGAGATGGTCAAGAGTTAAGTCAGAAGTGAATTATAGTACCCTACCTTCACACAGTGCTTTATAATTCACCACAGGCTCTCATGACTTAGAGATCCTCTCATTTAATCCTCACAACAATCTCACAAGGCAAACACTATAATGCTCTTCTCACAGTTTAGGAAATGCTGAGATTCAGAGGTTGTATGATTCAGACAAACAGGAGAGAATAGAGCTAAGAACAAGAGCCCAAGGTTTCTGACTTTAGAAATCTTGTGAGCTCTTCGCTGTATCAGTGGGTCACAAACTGCCGTGGACCACATTATAGAATGTTAGAATTTATTCTAGATAAAAAAAAAGGGCCCAATGGTCAAATAACTTTGGTAAACACCGGAAAACCTAATCCCCCTCAGGGAGAGTCACATGCCCATTAGATACTAAAGGTTCTGCTGAGCCCTATAACAGAACTCAGTCCCATGCCATCTAACCCAGAGTTTTTCACATGCACTTGGGCATGAACAAATCTGGTTCATTGTACTGGTTTTTGTTTTTGTTTTTTGTGGGAACCTATCTATAAGAATCCTAAAGAATAGTATTTTGTGGAATACCAGTTTGGAAATGTTTGCATTATAACTGTTGATCTTAGCAATTAAAAAAAAGGATGACCTCAGCAGTAAAAAAAAAGAATTAACTACTGATATATGCCAACAAATGGGATGACTCTCCAGGAAATTATGCTCCATGAAAAAAGCCAACCTGTATGATTTTATTTATAGAACACTTTTCAAATAAGAAAATTATACTAATGGAAAACAGCTTTAGTGGTTACCAAGGGTTAGGCATCAGGGAGCAGGAGGTGGGTGTGGTTATAAAAGAGCACCAGGGAATAGGAGGGATCTTTCTGGTGCTGAAAATGTCCTGTATGTTGACTGTGGTGGTGGACAGGGGAACCTATGCATGTGATAAAACTGTACGGAAGTAAATAACACACGCAAATAAGTAAGAACAAAAAACTGAGGCAACCTGAACAAGACAGGTAGGTTGTATCAATGAAAATCATACCAGTTCTTAGTTGTGACACTGTACTCTAGTTTTGCAAAATGTTACCATTGCGGGAACTGGGGAAAAGAGCACGTGGGCTGTCTTTGCATTGTTTCTTACAACTGCATCTATAATTATTACCGCTATAAAAATTTCAACGAAACAAGGATGGCCAGGAAACAAGGAATAACATCAGTGGTGGAAAACAAGCACCATAAAAACCAAGAAGTAAAAACTGCTCCATACCTGAGTGATTTTGTTGTGAACCTGTCTCAGATATTTCAAACAAAGGAACAGCAGTAGCCATCGTTTCACTGAACACTTTCTATGTACCTGCCAGTAAACTAAATTACTTTTTTGACGTAGACATTACTATCCCCCTCTAACACATGAGAAGAGTGAAGATCAAAAAGGTACATTAACTTGCCTTGGGTCCTGAAATATCCCCTTGCAGGTGTGCACCTGTCTCCAGGGCACTCTTATCTTACTGGTCCCCGTCCTCCAGCTTCCCAGTGTCTTTTCTAGCTATACCTGTGCCCTACTAGGCTCGTCCAGCCTTCCTATGTCCTGCTCCCCATCAAGCCATCTCCCACTGGTATATATCATACATTCAGGGAGCCACCGAAACCCAAGACGACTGCTGCTGCCTCTCTGTAACTGGGATGACTGATCAACACTTACTTTTAGCTGGTGGGTAGTTTTGGTATTTGTGGCAATGGCCTGGATTTCTTTTTCTTTCAGTTCTTTGTTCACATGTTGTACAAATGGATCTAATTCAGAATAAAGAATATCAGAACACTTAGAGCAAATGGCAGGAATTTTTCAGTCTTCGTCAGTGAACAGTATGCTGTTCTTCGTGATGTTAAATCATCTTTTTTTCCCATCAACTTTCCCATCATTTATCCCAGTCCAGAGCTTAAAAGCTTCTCACAGGTTCATCTCCCTAAAGCATCTCTCCAATCACATTGCTTCCCAGCTCAAAAATCTCTGAAGAAACGTCTTGGTCTGAAAGTCAGGGCATTACAGCATATACCTCTCCAATGAATTATACATATTTTTGAATTACACAGCCCTCAAATTCTTCTGCCACTGTGGCTTTCCATCATTTAAAAATCCTATCCTCTCTTTCATTTCACTTTCGTATATCCAGATCATATCAGTTTAATGTTACCCCCGGACTCACAATAAATAACTGCCTCCCAGGAGTTTACTGTGTCGGGCACTATGCTGGCTCCACTAAGAGGCCAGCTATGGTCTCCTACACAGTCATCGCCCTCTTCTCAAGTCCCCCAGCCTACCCACAACCCAGCCACCCCAACACATATACATGCACGTCCTACCTCGTCTAACTAGACTGTGAGATCCCTGAGAGCAGGTTCCATGTCTGATTTAACTTGCACTGGCCATCTAATCTTCTCTTCAGTCCCACTCATTAAGAAGCAAAGTTAAATGACCCATCCAAAGATCCAAGTATTAACACTTTAAATGCAGTGCGCCTTATATTAATACCTAAAGTAAGCAACCAGAGAAATTTTAGAATAGCTAAGCTTCCCAATATTTCCTCCAGAGTTTTTAAAATTTTTGCTAGTTCAGAATGGGGTTCATGCCCTACTTCTACCTGCTGCTTCTCCCTCTTCCCCAGAAGAGCCAACAGAACTGAATGAGTCAAATGAGGATTGAAGTTACAGCTTCAATGGCAAGCTGGTTGAAGAATGGCACTGGGACCAAAAAAGGCAGTCAGGACACAGAGTGAGACCAACGTGACTTGCACCCCAGGCACAGGCTGAGATGTGGCACTTGGGAGAGAACAGAGACCTGCCTAAGCCTACCACAGGCAGGCCCCGTCCAGGAGACTGCCATGAGGCGGAGAGGCGGGGGAGACAGGGTGGAGCTTGCTGGCATCTGAGGTGCTCCCTGGTAATAAGGACCAAGCAGATTAGCCACTCCCAGGTTTTGCAAATCTGGAAAATGACTGCTTCAATATGGAAGAGCAAGTGAAGGGTAGAGAGAAAAGTGCAAAGTAGTTTTCTCTTCTTTCTCTTTTTCTTCCTTCTCTGCCTGGGTAGGAAATCAGAAGTCTTCCCCTGACCTCATCTGTGGAAACGTGAAGCCTGGGGAATTGGCTTTCCCTGCTATACTCTTAAACTGTTTATTCTACAAAACAGCCCCCTACTCCCATCTCTGCTTAACCACTGAAAAACACAAAATATCTTTGAGAAGCACTTCTTCCCAGCTCTAGATCTAGCTGCTGAACTATCTGTTTTCATTGCTGCTCATTCCAATAACAGGAAGTTTAACGTGTACTAACCCATAATTTCCCATAAGCACCCGGTGACCGCAAACAACACACACTGTGCTGACCTTTTGATGCTTTCAGAGAACAGTTGCCTCCACTTTCCTCTTCAAGAAAATTGGTTTCTAGGCTGAAGAGTGACTCGTGTTTTGCATCTGTAAACTCCTTGGGAGATTCCTGTGATGTGCCAGGTGGCTCGTGCCCATCTTTTCCATCAGGGTCAGCAGGTAAGGCTACACCTGCAATTTTGAGAAACATTTTGTACAATTCTTTACTACTCATAAACACAATTATACCTCTGTTGACAAATAAACATCTAATTCCTTAGCCTACATCAATACTGATGTTCACTGTTGTTACTTACTTTTAAGCAAATTCAGGTGGAAGACATCAGTTTCAATATTAAGCCTGACTGTTGACCAAGTACGTGTAAGGATGTTCAAAGCAGCATTGATTTTAAGAAATAACTGGAAAAAATGGTTTCATCATTTCTATCAATGGGGTACTAATTAAACTACCACATATCATTTACAATGGAGTACTAAATGATAAAGCAAATGTGAACCCACAATTACACACATGAAAAAAGGTCCATGTTATATTATTAAAGAAAAAAGTAAGTTACAGAAACGTAGGAGACCATTACACACATACACACAAATATATGCATATACTCGTGTTTGCTCATATATCCATAAAAAAGTATTTTGGAAGGTTATATAAAATGTTAAAGGTGTTTGTCTCAAGGTGGTGGAGATATAGGTTAACTATACTACCCCCTGGGATAGCTCAAGTGGTAGAGTGTGTGCTTAGCATGCATGAGGTCCTGGGTTCAATCCCCAGCACCTCCTCTAAAAACAAAATAAATAAACCTAATTACCCCCCAAAAAAACCCAAAATAAAAATAAGTAAGTAAATAAATCTATTTTTAAAAAAGAAAAAAAAAAGTTACCCTGATATTCAGACAATGGGCTACTACTCCAGTAATAAAAAGAAATGAACTACTAATACATGAACAACATGAGTGAGTCACAAAAGCATGAGTACTCAAAGAAGCCAGACACAAAAGGGTACTTATTGCATACTTCCATTCACATAAGTTTCTGAAACAGGCACAACTAATCTATAGTGAAAGAAAGCGGGTCAGTGGTTGCCTAGTGTCAGGTCTGGGAAACTGACTGTAAAAGAACAAAAAGAAACTTTTTGTAGGTATTGGAAATGTTCCGTGTCTTGATTTTGGTGGTGATAATACAGATACACACACTCGTCAAAACCTATCGAATTACATACTTGAGTACACATTACTGTTGGTAAATCACATCTCAATAAAGTTGATTTTAAAATTAAAGAGAGCGGCATGGGCTCATAGCTCAGTGGTAGCATGCATGCTTAGCATGAGCAAGGTCCTGGGTTCAATCCCTAGTACCTCCATTAAAAAAAATAGTGTGTGTGTGTGTGTGTGTGTGTGTGTATAAAGTTAAAGAAAAAAGTCATCTAGAAGTCTGAGTGAAACAGAGTTCCTTTAAGCTTTCAATCCCAGCTCTTCTCTGAAACCTCCCCTCAGTTTCCCTGGCAGCGTGCGACCACTCTGCATCTTCAGCATCTTACACTAGCTGTTCCGCTCAAATCTGCTGCTTGGGAAGTTCTGCATATTTTATGTCCATATTCCATTAAACTTAGTTTCTCTAAGGAAGGAATAGTAATCTAATAAATTGAGACTCTGCCAAAACCGGACTCTCCCTTTCCTCTCAATCAGGGGAATTTGAACTAGGACTCATGAAGTCCTTAAAAAGTAAGCAAATACGTCATTTCTGCATTTTTCTGGCAAGAGGGTCCTATGTTTTCATCAGACTCTCAAAGATATCAGCAACCTCAAGAAGGTTAAGTGTCTCTGCTTCGGATCCATGGGCTTTCAGCCAGCCCATACAGTACAGGGTACTGCGCCCATGGGGCAATCTGTCTAGCCCCAGCAAAGATGGTGAACCCACATCAAAGACACTTACTCTCCTGCATTTCAGCAGACTCTGCCGCCATCTCCTCCTCCACACTGATGTCACTAGCACCATCTTCATGGTTCATTTCTGCCTCATCTACAACACTGTCTTCTTCCTCTTCCTCGTCATCATCGTCCTCCTCCTCCTCTTCCTTGGAAACATTCTTTAACGTGGCGAGTAGTTTATGGTAACCAGAAACTTGTTCTGGTTCACTCTCTGCTTCACTTTCAGAACTCGAAGTATCTGAACTCTCTGACTAAAAGGAGAATGGGAATTTTAAAAACAAAAATTATGTTGCTCTTGTTGTTACTCCGCGACTATCATCAGGCCCACAGTGTAACAGGTTCAGGCTTTTCTAAATAAAAATTAGCTTTCCTGTAAATACGCAATCCTATCTATTCAACCAAGCCAGCACCAAATTTGTTTAAAATAGCTAATCTAGCTGTGTTTGTAGAAGCTGTTCATCTTCTTTGAACTGCTAATGTTCCACATGGGAAGAAAGACGATGAAAAACATAGAGCTTCAGGTTACAAGGTGATCTAAACTATGTATCAGACGTTTGGCATTTTTAAAGGAGCCAAAGGAACATTACAATAAAACAAAAAAACTACCAGTTTTTTTTTTTTTTACTTTGTTGGAATGAGATAAGACCTCTGATGATTCTGCACTCTATTTTACGTTAAACAAACATAATACTTCTTAGGATTTACCAAGAGCCCCCTGCTAAGTCTCCTTAACAGGTTTTAACAGGCTAATCTTTCAGAGCAGTTTCAAACTCTTTGTACCATACTAGCTATCACAATGGCATTTTAACAGCCATCTGCATTCAAAACTAAGTAATATTACTAAAATAAGAGCTTACATCTAAAACTGAAAAGAATAGAAATGTAGCCAAATTCTACTATTATACATAATCTTAAAAATAACAATTCAGCACCAACAATCATAAAGAAAGTATAAAGCATTACCAGTTGACAAGTCTGTGGTTTTGCCTCCTTTGTAGAAACCCTAGAAGAAACAAGTAATGTTAAACTCTAACTACTAGTACAGGACAATTAGAAAAAGTCTAAGGATACAACTTTAAATGAAAATAGCATAATATACCATTACAAATATACTATAACTACTAGTTATGTAAAAACTACATAACCACTTGGACAAGGATTGTAAGAATATGACAGATAATTATTAACAAATAAAAGGTTTAACGAGATCACACGACAAATACTAGTCACACAATAACTCGCTCTCATCCAAAAGATGGAAAAACTTGGCAAATAAAAGCCTTTTTATTCTAGCAAATTTCTTAATTAGACTGTCCCACTGTTGAGAAGGTGGCCCAAAGTGGTGGGATGAGCACTAAGACCATAATTGAGGGTCTGCACACTAATAGAGAGAGGAACCCACAACTACATCAGTGATGTCCCAAGGTCCCAAGTAATTCTTTAAAAACACAAAATTCAAAAACAATCTAGAAAATCTCTTGACCATACAAAACCCAGCTCCACATACACATACACAGGGGGCGTGCGGTCTAGCATAAGCTACCCGCTCAACAAAAAGTAGGAAGACTCTTGAAACGCCGCATCTCAGGCGGCAAGCCGCCAGGACCCTCCAAGCCGAGGGCAGCGTGGGAAAAGGAGGGAGCTGCCCCGTCACTATCCCCCGGGAGACCGGCGGGCCCAGCGGGGAAACGCGGGCTTCCACTCGCAACAGACGCGGGCAGAGCTGGCCCCAGCCATGCCCCTCCATACCTGTCATAGAAGGGATGCTCCTCGCCGAAATCCCGAAGATGCCTCTTCTGCTTTTTAGTCAGGCTGCTAAGCAGCTGGCCCTGGCTCCGGCTCCGGCTCCCGCGTTTGCCCATGGCGAAAACATCAAGTTAACCCACCTCGGAGAAGCACGTCTTTCACCCGGAAGTAGTCTCGTCGACCCACTCACGCGAGATCGCCGACGGCGCTTTACGGTTGAAGCAGGGTGCCATAAAGCAGAGCTGCTTTACGTCGCGCTTGTACGACAGGCGTTAGAACTTCCTGCTTCCCATTCCGCCTCCTAGCGAGACTCTTTGGAAGCACATGCACTCAAGCCTATCTTTTCTCTGAGCCCTAGAAAGAACAAGACAGGTAGGCTTTGGGCTTCCAGGTGTGGGTAAATGGGTGGGCGTGCTTTGTGCATCTGTTTTGGTTGTGGGAATCAGCCTCCATAAGCGTCTAGTAGAGGGGATGGTTAAATGCAGTGCCTTTAGCAAAATACCAACCAACATTTAAGCGTGCCGGCACATTCATCATCACAACAGTCACGGTAATAAGCCTGATATTGGAGATAAAAAAGCCAATGCTTAGAAAAAGTTACGTAAACACTAGCAAGACAGGAGATGGAAAACTAAGCCTGTCTGATGCGACCACAGGCTTTTCCCACTAGGATCGGCCACTTGCGTGTGCTATGGGGCAGAATGGAGAGGCAAGGCTAAGATTCCTGCCCTTACCCTACCCCCTCATTTTCTGAAAGTATTGCAAGAGCTCCTAGTAACAAATCTGTTCCGACACTTTTCATGTTTTCATGTTCGAGCAGAAATACCCCCAGAGAGATAATATGACTTTCCTAAATCACTCAGAAAGTCGATGTTAGAGAAGGCAATAAAACTCAATCAAGTGTCTCAAAACTGAACCCAGGCAAAGAGGGATGGAAAACTTTCAAAGGGGGAAGTAACCAGTTCTGTATCTTGATCATGGAAGTGGTTATACCTTGCATACAATTACCAAAAGTAATCAAACCATACATTTAAAATTTATAAAGTTTAATGTAAGTAAATAATAACCTCAACAAACAGGAAAAAGCAAGAGACACAACTGGACTTCATTTGCCAGTGACATGCAGAATGTGCAGGGCTACTTAGGACCATGGGATGCACAGAGACACTTTTTTTCCTAACAGTAACTTATAATGTCATGTTTTATAAATACAAGTGCTAAATCATAGACCGCAGAATTCACCTTAATATTTAAGGTAAAACGGGAAACATCAAAGACGGTGTTTATTTGCTCTGCTATTAGAGGAGCTTCTGTGGGAGAATTTGAGCTTTGCCCAGAACCTTGTCACACCTATAGAAGTTGTACTAGAACTATTAGAATGCTATTCTTGTGTTTCTAGTGACCATCCACGACTCCTAATTAGATTCTAGGAGGTTAGGGGTTGGGTAGGGAGGGGAAGGAGGATGAAGAAAATATGCAAACAGGAGGTAGTGCCAGCAGCTGGCCCAGACAAGAAACCCATAAACAAACAGACATCTGTCTTCAGTCTAATTTCAAGATAAAAAGTACAGTCACTTATGTCAACAAAAGGCTGTTTGCAAAATGTCATCATATATTTTAAGGTACTAACCACAGTATAACCTGGCTGGAACAATAAAGTCAGATGTTTTTTCCTCCTCCCACCCTCTTCCAAGTGCCCTGGCTTCCCTCCCCAGAGGCAACCAGTTTCTTGGTGTTCTTCCAGAGAGCTTCTATAAAAAGCTATATTCTTGAGCACTTGAGGTGACTCTGTACTCTCTCCTGGTTTCCATGTCACTATAGTCCTATGGACAGGTCTAGACTGTTCCCAGGTGCAGACAAAACTGTGCCGTCACTCCACCCAAGCGGTCTCATCATGGGCTCACTAAGCAATCAAAAAGGTGCCTCGCACCTGAAAATATTTATATTAGCATTTGACAGCATAAAAGGAGACACTTTGTGAAATTTTAACGTGAGAGTTCAGAATTTAAGCTTTTGTTCATGCCTCCTGCGAAAGTCCTCTTAGTAAAACCCGCACAAAGAAGGTGCGCGTGCCAACTAGCGAAGGCCCTGGGAAAATTATAATAAAGGCAGAATTTGTTCTTCCCACACTCAGCCCTTCCTTTTCCCTCCTCTAGGATTTTCTTTTATCTTGACCCTCAGGCACTCGGTGTTTTCAGGAGGTAGAAATGTTATAGGGAAAAGGGAAATAAGAATTACCTTGGTTCTTAGTCACCCCCCCAAAATTTTTTTTTGACAAGAGACAAAAAGCATGATATAAGAAAGATTTTTATTAGTGAAGTAAAAAAAAGAAGTAAAAGCACACTCCCGAGAATTGGGAGAGGGCCAATCCCAGAGAGGAAAAGTGGAGCCTTTCCTTTGTTTTTTCTGTTTTTATATCTTGTCTTAGGGGTGTTTTCGTGATTGATTGATTGATTGATTGATTGATAGCTCAGGTTCCCTGAGATCTGGCATGCCCATCCCCTTTTGGGCAGGTTCATTGGGTCAGGTTATACCAGGGCCCCCTCCCATGCGCAGCTGCAGTGCTTTGATTTTAACTGGCTTCTTTTACTGGCCCTCATTTAAAGAAGTAAAAATTTCTGGAGTCTCTTTTCCTGAATGCAGACACACTGCCATTTTCCGGGTTGTTCCTTTCCTCTTCCTCTCCCCTTGCCCAGTGCTCATTTCCATCTAAACTGCCTAACAGAAATAGTCCAGGAAATAATAGTTTATACTAGTTTGTAAAGAGATGTTGTTGAATTAATGTTACTTTTCAATTTGGGGAGACTCCCGAGGGTAATGATCTCAGGAGTGGGAGAAGGATGGCTGTTTCTTAGGAAAAGATTGTCAGAAGATTCAGAAAGGTGTTCATTTTTCTTTGTTAAAAACTTTTTCCTTGGAAAATTCCAAGTATATACAAAAGTAGACAAAATGGTATAATGCACGCCCATGTACCTATCCCTCAGCTTCAACACAAAGCCATCCTGTTTCTTATATACACCCACCCAGTACCCCGATCCTCCACTCTGTTTCATTTTTCAAGCAAATCGCAGACATATTATTTAAATGTATCTTTAAAAATACCTAAAAGATAAGTGTTCTTTTTTAACATAGCTACAATGACACTATTGCACCTAAAAAAAGTGATAATAATGATTTAATATCATCATATATCCAGTCGGTGTTCAGATTTCTGATTGTCTCATACATGTTGTCTTTTTTTCTCACACTATTAGGTTAACATTCTCTGTACTTACCATGAACACATTGTTGGATCTAGAACTTTGATCACACTTTGCTACAGTTAGTATTTTATGCTTCCATCAGGAGGTACATAACGTCCTGGTGTACAACGTCTGGTTGCCTTTCATTGTGTAATGTTACCAGTCATTGATCATCAATGTCTAAATTCATTAGTTCATTAGAGGTCACATTCTAATTTTATCATAGAGGGCAATATTTTAATTCTGTCATTTCTTCTTCACTTACTTGCTGGACTATTTCTATGAAGACAAACTTCTCCTTTTTGTAAATTTTGTTTACCCAGTGGTACAGTTTGTATAGGAAAGGCAGAATAAATGCTTGATTTTCTCCCTTCACTTACTAATTTTCAACATACGGAGTCAATTTGCTAAATCTTCTAATGCTGACTAAGGTTTTTAAAATTTTTTTATGTATTTATGTATTTATTTATTTTATTGGGGGTGGTGAGATAATTTGGTTTACTTATTTATTTATTTTCAGAGGAGGTACTGGGAATTGAACCCAGGACCTTGTGTATACTAAGCATGTGTTCTACCGCTTGAGCTATACCCTCCCCCACAATAGAAATTATTTATTTATTTATTTATTTATTTATTTATTTATTTATTTATTTATATCACTATGAACTCATTGAATTATACAAATTGATGTGTTTTAATACCTTAAATATTATGGTGTGTACATACACATGTGGTTTGAAAGAGCTTATTTGATATATAGCGATGTATTTGAAAAAACGAACTACTTTCTAATGCAAACTACAGACAGTAAGCAAGAGTCTATCTGAGACTCTCAGCAGAGTAGGAATGGGAAGGTGAGAGGGGCCCACAGATACTGGAGATGTTTGAGTTTTGAAACTTATGTGATAACATAAGTGATAACAGAGGCACATGGGTTCAAGATATGTTGACGGGGAGCTATACGGAATCCAAAGGTGTGACTCTCTAACAATGGAAGCTCTGGCACCTCAGCTACTGATTTGAGAAGATTCTGGGGAGGGTGTGTGTGCGCCCGCATGCCTGTCTCCTCCTAGAGGTCTTAAATCAGACACTGTCCCACATACAAGACCAGCTCCTCCACCACATGTATACACATGTGACTGTATACAGCCCAAAGCGATCCAGCCTCTCCCTGAGAGTGCTGGCAGAAATGTCTCTCACTACCCTTCGAATGAAATGAGCACACTTAGTCATGGACAAAAAATGTGCTAAACACCATGTTCCAGGTGCTGTGCTGGCACCTGAGGCTAGGAGAAAGAATTAGCTCCTTGCCAGCCTCTTCAAGGAGTTCTCAGCCTTGTCTAGGTATGGATAAGTATGCAGATTATTACAGTATGGAACTGATAGATGCCTAATGCTAAGGAAGCAGCTAGGTGGGTGTTTTGGAGCTGGTGGGAAGGAAGAAGTGAAGGATCTGCTGCCATTGAATATTTGTCACTCGCTCACATCCATTGAACATCAGTATGGTACTCAAAATTAATCTCGATGCTGTGTCTTAAGCTTGTATGAGTTGTTTCAGCTGACTTCATGAACAGCATGCATGCGTGTATTCAAGACAGGATATGAGGGATGTAGGGCAACAGGAAATTAGAAAGCTGTGTAGTCATTGGATTCCAGAGCGTTGATTGTGTAAGAAGCAATGACATCTCTAGGCGGAGCATATTTTAGAAAACAAGATTATGTCTGAGAAAGGGAAAGCTTTGTAATGCACTTCAATGCCCACTACCAAACTTGAAAATGTAAAATATTATTACATATACTTTCTACCCTTCCTATTCATCTGTATCCGTAAGAACTACCCGTTGTCAAACCCAGAGCCCGGCATACAGTGACCTTTAATAAATATGTTTCCTCAAGCTTATCAGAGGTTGATTTACATTTGCCTAGGCTAAAACTGAAATATTTTATCAAATTAC